ATTATTTATTATTTTATTATTATTTATTATTATTTACAATATTTATATTTTGCCCTTCTCTCCTTACAGGGACTCAGGGCAGATCACAATGCACATATACATGGCAAACATTCAATGCCATAGACACACAACATATATAGACAGAGACACAGAGGCTATTTAACTTTCCAGCTTCATGAGGGTATGCTTTTTGAATTCTGGCCACCGGGGGAGCTGTTGCTTCACCATCCACTTGTGACACCGATGGAGTACTTCCTCATTCTTTGGCACGCTGCTGGAAATTTTTATGGTGTCGTAAATTAGCTAAATTAGCCTCCCTGCATAAAGTGGTACCTAAATTTCCTACTTGACAGATGCAAGTGTCTTTCAGGCTGCAAAGCTAGACTATTAATGGTTGGGAGCTTACTCCAACTCGGGCTAGCTTCGAACTCATGACTTTTCCATCAGTAGTGATTTTAATGCAGCTGACTCCCAACCAGCTGCACCACAATCCAGTCCTTAAGTTGGATTTGTATATAATTTGGAACAGGCACATGTGTAAGTGTAACTTTTGTTGGAAATAGCAACCTTCCAAGCCTCCACTTAATGTTTGTAAATGTGTGTAAGTGTTAACCTATATTGTATGTACATTTTGGTTTGCCAGTTTGGCTGGACATCTTTGGTGTGGGATGGGCTTCAGACACAGGACGCAATTTTTGTATTCTGTTTGCATCTGACCTCAGTGGAGGTGGATGCATGTTGCTGTTTGGACTTTAGTAGAGAAGAATGACTTATGGACTTCAGTGAGCACAGCTATACTTAAAGACTATGGACAATTGATTAAGTATCATACCTTGTGTACTCAACACAGAGAAGAAACTACATCTTATCTAACTGAACTCTTATAATTGTGCCTGTATTGTGAATATATACAAGTTGTTTATGAGTAAACAAGATGTGTTATTTTTCAAAGAAGAATTTGCTTTTGTCTCTTGAGTACATATTTAACTAAGAGGTTTTAAGGGAGAGGAGATGGGCAACTGCAAATTCTACTTCAAAGAAACGGCAAAAGTATGATAGCTGGGACCCAATGCTGGTTGCGCAATGTGGATCAAAATTAGAGAAGTGAAGACGTGCGTGAGACAGCGTTAAGTTTATAGCACGCTTCATCCACATGTATGAAATACATCCAGTGCCAGAGATACAGCTTAATGGTGTAACATTAGAAAATGTTGACTATTTCTGCTCCCTTGGCAGCCACCTCTCCACAAAAGTCAACATTGACACTGAAATACAACACCGCTTGAGCTCTGTGAGTGCAGCATTTTTCCGAATGAAGCAGAGTGTTTGAGGACCGGGACATCCGTAGGGATACCAAGGTGCTTGTTTATAAAGCTATTGTCCTCCCAACCCTGCTATATGCGAGACGTGGACTGTCTACAGACGTCACATGCAACTCCTGGAATGATTCCATCAGCGCTGCCTCTGAAAAATCCTGCAAATCTCTTGGAAAGACAGGCGGACAAATGTCAGCGTGCTGGAAGAAGCAAAGACCACCAGCATTGAAGCGATTGTCCTCCGCCATCAACTCCGCTGGACTGGCCACGTTGTCCGGATGCCTGACCATCATCTCCCAAAGCAGTTGCTACACTCCAAACTCAAGAACGGAAAACAGAATGTTGGTGGGCAGGGAAAGAGATTGAAAGATGGGCATAAAGCCAACCTTAAAAATTCTGGCATAGACACAGAGAACTAGGAAGCCCTGGCCCTTGAGCGCTCCAGTTGGAGGTCAGCTGTGACCAGCAGTAGAATTTGAAGAGGCATGAAGAGAGGGCGAAAGAGAGAAACGTGCAAGAGGAAGGCGCGTCAAGCCAACCCCGACCGGGACCGCCTTCCACCTGGAAACCGATGCCCTCACTGCTGGAGAACATGCAGGTCAAGAATATGGCTCCACAGTCACCTCCGGACCCACCCCCAGGACACCGATCTTGGAAGACAATCCTACTCAGACAATGAGGGATCGCCTAAGTACTGGCCGCCCATAGTCAGATAGACTCACCAAAACGAAATTTAAAAATGCATGGAGTTCTACTTGGAAAGATATTTGGTTTAAGATATTATTTAGTGTCCTCTGTGCATGTAAATACTCAAACATCTTCCAACACTGTCCAGTATAACCTTAAGCCATCCTGGTAGAGGGTGATGGGCTTGTTGGAGAGGAATGGGACCAGTATTCGAGACTCATTTTGTGGCTGGAGTCTCTTTCTTGAAGGAGGCCGCAAGAGAGGTGTCCACAGAACTCTTTTTTTCCTCCTCATCATAAATAGCCCTGTAGCATCTCAGAACTTTGGAAATGGTACGGAAAACTTTGGCGAACCTCTCCGTGTCGGGATCCTGCTCCTCTAACTTGGCCATCCCTGCTTCGATGAGACGGAAAGCATCCGCTAACCCGTTGGTTGAAAAGCTTTTCAATTTTGGAGTTTCCAGGTCCCAATCTTCTTGCTTAATCATCACCGGTGGCTCTATTTCCACAAAACCTTCCACGTAGGTCCTCTCGGGCATTTCCCCCCAGAACGAGCCAGTTTCATCTACGTTCAGAAATTGGCCTCGGTCGTCAATGATGCCTTTCAGTATCTCGGGGAAATTACTCGCGGCCTTGACTTCGGCACTCGCCGCTCCGCCTTGAACCATAATATGATGCAGTTTTGCTCTTTCTTTAAAGCGGTTGAACCAACTCCGACTCGCGAGAAACTCTCCATTGAAATCGCCTTCCTTTGCTGGACGAGCAGCTCTTAAGTCGCCGTAAAGGCTCCGGGCCTTTTCTTGCACCAAAGCAGGACTGAGAGGCAAATGACACCGGTTCTGGTCTTCCATCCAAACTGTCAGCAGTCTCTCCATCTCGAACATGAGGCTGTTGTGCCGTTTGGTGATAATCGTGGCGTTCATCGGGGCGTGGCCCTTTGCGTATGCCATGATCCTGCCTTTGTCTTTCAAAATGGTGGCGATGGTCGACCGGCCGTAGCCCATGGCTCGCCCGATGGAAGACGGCGCTTCACCTGCTTCGGATCTCCTGATGATCTCCACTTTGTTTTCCAAGGTGATGGTTTTCCTCCGCTTCGCTTTCCGTCCCGTGTGGATCGCATCGTGGTTCATAAAGCATTCGAAGAGGCCGAACTGTGCGCCACATTCCACACTTTTATAGAGCTTCTCCTTTCTCTGGGATCTTCTTCCTTCGTGATTTTCATGCGTAAGAAGAAGAAAAAAGAAAAGAATAAGAGCCTATTCTTAATAATAATAATAATAATAATAATAATAATAATAATAACAATAATAAAACTTTATTTATATACCGCTCTATCTCCCTGAGGGCACTCAGAGTGGTTCGCAGGTAACATCACAAAACATACAAAGTAAAACAACATAGCCAAGTTCTTGTGGGTTTTTTCGGTCTATATGGCCATGTTCTAGAGGCTAGGAGAAATGCCTCTAGAACATGGCCATATAGCCCGAAAAAACCCACAAGAACTGAGTGATTCCAGCCATGAAAGCCTTCGACAATACATTGAACATAGCCAAGATTAACAAAGCAATATAAGCATAAAAATTGTCGCAATAACACACATATATTATAAGTTATCTATAGAAGGTCAGTGCTTATCACTTCTAGCCCCAACGTACAACAGATAACCTCAAGGAACAACTGATAAGACATCCAGTGTTCCCTCACTTATCACGGGTGTTACGTTCCAGGACCACCCGCAATAAGTGAAATTCCGCAAAGGGGAACCCCCTTCCCCCCTCTCTCTTACCTACCACCACCTCCTCTTCATCATCGCCTCCCTTCTCACCAACAAGCCTATTCCGCGCGCCGTGGCTGCTGCTGCTGCTCTAGAAGCAACGGAGGAGGCACCTCGTCGCCGCCTGGGACTCTTGCCGCCACTTGGGCCTCCAGCGACAGCAAGAGACCCAGGTGGCGACGAGGAGGAGGAAGAGGAAGGTAAAGAAGGCGGCTCTTCTTCCCTCCTCACCCTCTTTACCTTACTCCTCCTTGTCGACGTCTGGGCCTCTTGCCACCGTTTGGGCCCCGGGACACCTCCACCAGCTCCTCAATTGCTCCCGGAGGCCCAAGCAGTGGCAAGAGGCCCAGGCGGTGATGAGGAGGAGGAAGGTAAAGAGGGCGACGAGGGAAGAAGAACCTGAAGATGCAGGTTCGCAGCTTGGGAGTGATCCTGGACTCATCGCTGAGCCTGGAACCCCAGGTCTGGGCGGTGGCCAGGGGAGCTTTTGCACAGTTTATTTATTTATTTACTATACTTGTATACTGCCTTTCTCAGCCTTATCAGCGACTTAAGGCAGTTAAAGCTTGTGTGCCAGCTGCGCCCATACCTTGCTGAGGTGTTCCAGCTCATCCCTTAAATCAAGAAATAGTTTTCTAAGATCTACAGAGACACTCGCTGGAACAAGCAAGAGTCCAGAAGTGGCAGGCTCAAACCCAGAACCTCAACCAACGGCTGATACCAAATGAGAGACTCCCCCCGGGCACACAGAAGACTGGGCGACTTGGAAGGCGCTGAACAGACGGCGCTCTCTCAAGAAATGGGGCCACAAAGTGGAATCCACAACATGCGAGTGTGGAGAGGAGCAAACCACTGACCACCTGCTGCAATGCAACCTGAGCCCTGCTAAGGCAGAAAGGTAGGCAGAAAGGTACAGCTATAAGGTAGACAGAAAGATACAGCTATAGTTACAAAATGCCGAGGTTTTCATAGAGAAAGGAGAACGGATATGGACTTGACCATATATGGGAGACAAAGCCAAAGATGAGTTTTTTGTGAAAGGGTGAAGAATCGGTCATGAGACGTGCTGACTTTGCAGAGAGGAACTAGCCAAGGCTAAATTAAGCTTGCCAAGATCAGCAGCTGTCCCCAGCCGTATTTTGCATATCAGCATCTTGAGATGTTTCCAAAAAGGGGCTTGCTTATTAAGAAACGAAACTTAAAAGTATATGAGCTAATTGCTTAACATAAATGTGATATTGACAGCTTTCTTAACCAATGATTTAATCTTTGGGGCGGCTCTTAAAGCCGAACCCCTTTTGATGTATAAAAGAACACTACCCTTTGATGCTGGTGTGACTTCCCCCAGAGACGCCCAGTTGCGTCGGAAGTCAACCTAGCAGCTGCTATGCTAAATAAACTTTGATATTCTTGCTGAACCCAGTTGGCTGTTTTTCCTGACTCATCTGCGCCTGCAATTCGGACTCGGTCTGAACATTTTGGCAAAGCCTTTGAACATCGCTCAGAGGAAGGGAAAAGTCTGCTTCACTGCCACATGCACAATGGAGGACCTTCTTGCGGCAACACCAGAGGCACTCCAAGTGGCCAGATACTGGTCAAAGGATATCTAATCAACTTGAAAACTTTGTGGTTTTTAAAATCTGTTTGTTTGTTTGTTTTGTTCTGTTAGAAATGTAATACAATGGTCTGGTTGCCCCTGACACGATAAATAAATAAATAGGAGAGCTTTGATTGTGTCTTCCTACCTGGCAGAAGGGATTAGACTAGATGGCCTATTATACTTAATAACCAAAGACCGCCTCACAAATGTAAAGCGTAGTAACTTATTAGCAGCAGTGTCACCCAGGACACACACAGTGGCCTGGCGTTTCTCTCAGTGAGGCTTCCCACACCAGACTTACTAACTCTGAGCCCTCTCTCCCACTGAGGCCTTCTCACACACTGAGGTCTCTCTCAGACTGACACCTCTCTCACACTGAGGTGAACTAACACAAAAGCCTACTCATACTGAGGCCTACTAACACACATAGGATGATAGTGTCTGGATCTGGAGCCCACCATCGTATTATCTGGCTTCCTCCCAATTCTGGGCAGTGTGATTTCTTACCCAAAGAGGCCACATTCCCATAGTTCTCCCGCATGACTTCCTTGTACAGGGCTTTCTGGCCCTGATCCAGGAGGCCCCACTCTTCCGCCGAGAAAAGCACTGCCACTTCCTCAAAGGAGACCCAGCCCTGGAAGGAGGAAGACACATTGATGAGATCAGAAACAAGGCTCTCCAGCAGAAATACTCTCCCACAGAGAGAAAACACAAAGGGATTGCTATATCTAGTGGGGTTAAAGAAGGCATGGGCCAACTTGGGCCCTCTCTCCAGGTGTTTTGGACTTCCTAACAGCCTACCGGATTCAGTGGAAGAAAGGCCTCAGTGGGAGATATGACTCAGTGTTAGTAGGCCTGGTGGGAGAAGCCTTGCTGAGAGAAACACCGACTGTTAGGCATTGTGGGAGTTCAAGTCCAAAACACCCAAGTTGGCCCATGACTGTGTTAAAGGATGACACCAAACCCCAACAGTATTCAGAGTTGGCTATAATGAGTAGGTGGGAATCGTTCAGTCCAGATTAATCATCGGTCGGGTTGACAGTTAAGAGTACTCGGAACAGGTACGTTGTTGAAGTGTAATTCCAGCCAAAAGTGTGTGTGTGTATATATATATATAGCTTTAGCTTTGGAGGGCATAGGGAAGGGTTAACACCCCTGCGGAGTTTGTTTTGCTGTCTCTTCAGGAGTTTTCACCTCCCATCCTGTCCCTGCGATAATTGGATTTTGAAAAATGTGGCTTGTTGTGGAAACAAGGATCCGAGGAGACTCAGTGGAGGGACCTTTCCCTTATGAGATTAACTCTTCCATGACGGAACTTCCTTTTTAACCTGGAGATTACCCATCTATATATCTATGTGTGTGTGTATACATACACACACAGAGAGACTAGCTTAGGTCCCCGGGAATGTCCGGGTTAAGTCTTTTGTAATGCTATTTATTAGAAAAATATTCATTGGGATGTTGTGAGTTTTCTGGGCTTTATAGCCATGTTCTAGAAGCATTCTCTCCTGACGTTTCGCCTGCATCTGTGGCAGGCATCCTCAGAGGTTGTGAGATCTGTTGGAAACTAGGAAAATGGGGTTTATACGAGTATATCTGATATACTTTTTTTTTATTTACGGCATTTATATGCCACCCTTCTCACCCTGAAGGGGACTCAGAGTGGCTTACAATATATATTTTCATACAATATATTATATTATTATTAATTATTATATTATATTATTATATTATATTATATTATTATATATTATAATATTATATTATATATATATATAAAATATTATTATATATATGTAATGTAAATATATAATTATATTATATTATTATTATTACTAGTATTATATTGTATTACATTATAATATTATAAATATTATATGTACATACAATATACTATATTATATTATTAGTATTGCATAGTATTAGTAGCAGTAGTAGTATTACATAAATCAGATAGATGCAGGCAAAATGTCAGGAGAGAATGCTTTTGGAACACGGCCATACAGCCCAGAAAACTCACAACAACCCAGGGATTCCGGCCATGAAAATCTTCGACAACACATTAAAATAGTCATTGTTTGGCTTTTGGATTTTATGAACGTCTTCATAAGAAAATGCATAAGGATTTGGGCAAAGTACAATTCCCATCATCCTCTATCCTTGCAGCAGTTGATTCTATAACATATTAGTAATAGTCATTGTTTGTTTGTGATCATTACAAAAGACTTAATGCATCCAGAGATCACTGTGAATTCCACGAAGGATGGATCCGGAGCAAACTTGGCATGCATCCGTATTGTGACCACCGTTAATGACTGGTGCAGATTGGAGGCCATGACAGATAATGAAGGGAGTTGTAGTTGACCACTGTCCTTATGCATTTTCAAACAGAACCACTCATAGAATCTGAAAACACCTGATCATGACTTCTAATACTCATAATTATAAATGACCGATATCTAATCCATGCATTGCCAGGAACCTAAACTATATCTATACCTACAATAAAACTGTATGTATGTATGTGGACGATTTCCTATTGGCTCCTACTTCCAGAAAGCACTGTGAAAGCACTCCCACTGATAACAGATCTGGACCAAAGTTACGAGGGTTGAATGAAAAGCAATGCCTCCACCTTCGTAACTCCTCAACAGATGGTAGTACTGGTATGCGGCAGGTACTGGCTTGTTCAGTAGACTCTCCTCTACAGTTCCATTTCAGCAGGAAGCCTTAGCATTGAATGGTTGTGTTGTTAAAGTGCAAAGCATGGAACCCTGCGCAGACGGTCAGCCAGTGCAACTTAAGCAACGTATGTGGCAGTTGCTGGCTTGTTCAGTAGACTCTCCTCTACAGTTCCATTTTGGCGGGAAGCCTTAGCATTGAATGGTTGTGTTGTTAAAGTGCAAAGTATGGAACCCTGCACAGACGGTCAGCCAATATGACAAGCAATGTATGTGGCAATTACTGGTTTGTTCAGTAGACTCTCCTCTACCGTTCCGTTTTGGTGGGAAGCCTTAGCATTGAATGGTTGTGTTGTTAAAGTGTGAAGTTTGGAGCCCTGCGCAGACAGTCGGTCAATGCGACTTAAGCAACGTGCAGTCATTGAATTCTTGACAGCAGAAGGTGTC